AATGAGGGCAGCCCCCCGCTCCTCCTCCACTTCCTTGGCGATTTCCGCCAACACCTTCTTACGGGCTTCAAGCTCCGAGACATGCCGGCGGTGTGCCTTGCGGCCCACCTCCACCATGGCCTCCACTGAGCGCCGCCCCTCCTCGACACGCGCCCACGCGGCGTCGAGCTCCGCCCACTCTGCTTGCAGGGCCTCCACCTGGGCACTAAGCCCGTCCAACACCGCGATGTTTGCGGCGGCCAAGGCCTGCAGAAGGGGCTCTGCGCTCAGCGGGGCGATAGAAGGCGTGGGGAAGAGCCGCCTTGGAGAGGATGCCACGCGGCTCGGGCCGCCGATGGAAGTGCCGGACTCGGGGATGTCCCTCAGACCTGGTTGGTCCTGGGCGTCGCCTGAGGGAGTGGGCCCAAGCGACGCGCCCGCAGCCTCGTCGCCAGCTGCCCCGGAAGTTGTCGCCTGAGCGTCGCCCGAGGAAGCGGGCTCAAGCGACGCGCCCGCGACCTCATCGCGAGCTGCCTCGGAAGTCGCCATTGCCTCGTCCTGGCGAAATCCGGCTTTCTCCCGAGCGGCTTCCTCGGCCTGGTGGGCTCGGGCGGCCTCCTCCCGAGCGGCTTCCTCGGCCTGGCGGGCCCGGGCGGCCTCCTCCCGAGCGGTTTCCTCGCCCTGGCGAGCCCGGGCGGCCTCCTGGGCGGCCTCCTCGGCTTCCCGTAGGCGATCCGCGGCCTCTCGCCGGTCAGATTCCCGCCTCCGGGCCTCTGCGGCCGCCGGATCCTCGGCCTCAGACTGGCCGGACTTGGAATGGCGGGAGGGACGCGACGGGATCTCGCTGAAACAGAAGAAAAGACCAGAAGACGAACAAGATGGGTGAGTGAAAACTCGCGTTGAGAGAATGAATACAGCCACGATGGGTGAGAGACGAACCTGCGAGGGGGTCGGTTAAACGACCACTTTGGAGGGGAAATAAGGTTTCCCCGAGATGGTTCTGTCTCCCCCATCTTGCGGAGCCGCTTCTTCTTGCGCTCCCCCTCGGGCTGCGATGTCGGCGCGGCCCCCTCCGGGCGCCTGCTGTTGGCACGCACCGCCCCGCCCCCTCGGGGAGGAGATGGGGGAGGTGTTCCTCCCTGCTTCCTCTTCCCCCGGGCGTCGGCAGGGCGGCTGCTCCTCGGGCCTCCGTCGCGAGACCCAGAAGCACGACCCCCTCCCGGGGTAGATTGATCCCCCCTACGGCTCCCGCCTGCGCCGTCGTGGCCCTTTGGAGCTCACTCCTCTGAGGCCCCGACCGCCGTCATAATGGTCAGGATGGAGGCGCGGTCTGGATCGCTGCAGAGAGGGAGGATTCCTTGGGGAATGAGGGACGCCTCCATGGAGTTGAGATTCAGCACCCGTTGGACCACTATCTTGAAATCCTCAGGAGCCCAGTCCCATCTGACTCCCTGGTGGGTCCTCATGTAGTCTTCGGACCCGGTGTACTCCCAGGCGCCCCGAGCGCGCCGCTGGAGCGGCGCAATCCGACGACGGAGGTAGTCGCCGTACACCATGGCCCCTGTGAGCCCCTGGGATCGTAGGCCCGCCAGGCGGTCGAGGACGGCGTCATAGCCATCCCCCAGATCTACCGGCGCCCGCCAGCTGGAGGCCTGCGCCGGGGGCTGGCTCGGAAGTCAGAGGCGCGCTTCGTCGGCGAGGGGGGTGTAGAACCAGTCGCTCTTCCAGTCGTCCCACTTCTTGCGGAGGGCGCAGGGGATGTAGCGATTCAGCACCGGCCCCCATGGCTGGAAGTAGCAGCCACCAACTACCGATGGCGGCGACACCGACTGCACGGTGAAGAACCACCGGAACAGCCGAAGAGATGGGCGCACCCCAATGAACATCTCGCACAGATGCGCGAAGATGGCCAATGTCATCACCGCGTTGGGGGTGAGGTGCGCCATCTGGAGATCGTAGAACTTCAGAACATCCATGAAGAAAGAAGAAAATGGCGGAACCAGCCCTGCCATTGCAAAGGGGAGAAAGAAGACGGACCGCCCCGGGTAGTCTGGCGCCGGGCGTCCCTCACCCAGCGTGACTATCTCCCGGCCGGTGGCAGATTCCGGCATGAAGCGGCGCGGCAGCCCAGCCTGCCTCTCGCTCACGATGCGGGAAGGCGGCAGCACGCTACCATCGAGCAGAGCGGAGCCCCGTGCCATGGCGCCGGAGGAAGAGAAGATTGAGAGCGAGCGCGTGTGGCGAAAGTAGAGCACAGGAAAGAAGGAGTTAGGGCGCAAGCGGCGAAGACAAGGGAAATGATGGCGAAAGGAAGGAAACAGATCCTTTCCTCAGTGCCTTTATACTCTTGCCAACGCTGTGCCCGGCTCCTCGCTTCTCGCGCCCACTATTTCGCCCCCTCGTTTCTCGCGCCCACGCTTCCACTAATCCCATTCGCCCGCTTGCGGCGCATGAGGTGGATATGCGGTTGTGGCAGTCGAGATAGATCATATCGTGCGCGCGTTAATTACGCTCGCCGACCAAAGCGACGTTACCATATCTCCAGACGAAACGAATCGCCATGTCCAGATTCGTGTGCTACTCGAGTAATGTGGCAGTCTTGAAGAGACCGCTCATTATTGATAGTAGAGTTACCATTGCCGATGTGCGTGATTTGTGACCGTTGGGTTTCTGCCCAATTGTGGAGACCGGTCCCACCTGTCACCAGGCCTTAGGAGTGGCGTCACGCCCGACCGCTTCCCTTAAAGAGGGCGATCGCCCTGGCATAACGCCGGGGGCTACTGTCGGTGACATGGGATCAGGAGTATCATGACTAGAGGTTTGAGGCAGACACAATCGCCCACGTGGCCTGGCACCCTCGGGGGACGTCGGGCCCGAGGGTGATGTGTTCGCCCTCCTCTTAGTCCCCCCGAGGGGGTCGGACCGCACCCGCCTCGGCCCCGAGGGCCGAGGCGCCCCGACCCCTCGTGGGTTTTTGCTCCGCGTGTATGGGTTAGGTGAGCACAGCGGGGCTCACCTAACCACATTTATTGCGGTTTGGCTGAGCGTGTCACGCGGCATGTAACGAAGTGCAGTGCACTCGTTTATCCGGTCTGTGACCAGTCACAGACCGGTCAGATCGCGGGTTAGGTGGCGACAGGCGATCTGACGCACGCCTCGCCCCATCCCGTCAGGACGAGGGCTTCTAGGCGCTCGTCCCCAGCTGGAGCTAGCGTGTTACCTCCTAGAGATGGCACGTTAGTCCTGGTTAGATATATGCCAGGCTTCATCCTAACCATTACAGGCAAGATGTTGTGTGAAGAAGGGCCAACATGTAGATTGCTAAACTGACGCGTGGTGGACAGGAATGAGCAATTTGTGACCAGTCTGACACTGGTCATGTCGTCAGCAGACAGCCATAATCCCACGTCGCACCTGCTTTCGGCGGAAGTGGAGGTAGGTATGGGCCGTCCTATCAGAAGGTCATTCGGACGGCAACTATACAAATCTCCGTCCATTTATGAAAAGGTAGGGTAAGTCCCCACAGAAAGGAGGGAGATGGTGCATGTGGTATCCCCTTAAGATATAAAAGGAGGACCTTGCCCACTTAGAGGGGGGGACTGGACTGGACTTTTCCAGATTCGGAACCCAGAACAAGGGAGAGGCTGGCTCATACTTTGTAGCTCCTTCATACACAGATCCCCCCAAAACACAGGAGTAGGGTATTACGCTTCTCAGCGGCCCGAACCTGTATACATCGCCCGTGTCTTATGCTCTTTCGACGGTCGCGAACCTTCCACATACAGAGAGCTTAGAATTTCACCCTGAGTCCCCGGCCGAACCGGCAAAGGGGGGCCTGCGCGGTCTCCCGGTGAGGAGCCCCACGCTCCGTCAGGCCTCCTTCGGCCTTTCCGGCGAAAAAAAGTTACATAACGTGGATTAATGTTTGTTTGCAACTTATACATTTTCTCCAAGAGAGATGCACACAACCTTTCAGAGTATAAATTATAATTTATACAGTTTTTAATAAATCCAATGTAGATATTTGGCTCATTTAAAAGATTTGTGCCACCCTTATAAAAAAGAACATATAGAAGTATTTTTGTTTAAAGTACAGAGAAAAAATTGCCGAGCACACTTGCCATGTGCACTGATATTTTGTTTTTGTCATTTTTGTTTTTAGTAATACCCTTCTTTTAAAAAAAGTCTTTGTTCCTTCATCAAGGAAAGGAACATCATTTTTTTATTAAAAAAATCAATATCACACGTTATACTGTCATCATATCCGTATACAATCACTTGTGCGCATAGTATGCGTATAAGATCGCTTGACACGCAGTAATTGTCAAGTTGAGCAGACCATGGAAAATTCAACGTTTGAGTTTCTAGCCCAGAACGCAAAAACAGATGAAAAGGTAAAGCACATGTTTAGTGCGTGCATGTAACACAAGTGAATCCAATACAAAGCATTATTACAGTTACCGAATGGCGTCCGATGGCACAATCTTAAAGAAACTAAAATTAACAATAAATCCCTTACCTTACCCATTAATATTCATAGTCACTAGGATTTGAACCTAGCAGATAAATATTCATAGCCACAAGGATTTGAACCTAGCAGATAACGTCACGCACCCATAACTCCTTCACAATAATTCCTTTGGTGCTTCCCCAAATTTGATATCGCTAACTTAAGCCAATAATCGAGCATCTCATATCAAATTTGCCAGAATACATACAGCCCGGAGCTCACAGCTTCCGGATACCATCTTACCAATAAAATGCACTCTCTTTATGGAGTAATTACCAAGTTTCCCCTTTTCTTCTAACTTTTGATTCGTTTTCGCTTCGATTTCCAATGAAATATAACTCATTTGTGCACGACAAAACTACTTTGTTCTACTGCTTAATCGGCGTGGCAGCACTAACTGCAAGTAGCTAAAAATTTAGCAATAACGTCTGAAGGCAGAAGCAGTCTTACCATTCAGTGTTCAATCCTGGCCTGCCCTACACCATATCTTCAAACAAGAACACAGGATTGCATTGACAGACTCGAGCACACATTTTTACTTCACAATTTAATTTAATGAAACGAGCAACTTCTCCTAAATTAAGATAAGTTCTTAGGATCTGTTATATATTTGTATTGTTAAAAATAAAATAGGGGCAAAAGTAAACTACATCAGAGTCTATTTTTACAAATCTGACTAACAATGGACAGTCTTGTATTTCTTCTCTCTTCAGTCTGCAAAAAAGGACAGCACTCAGCACCTAGTCTGCTATCAGCCATACTAGAGGCTCAGGAACATGAAGTACATAAATTGTGGACTAGAAGTCTAAAACATATATAAATTATAAAACATGAAAAAAATTCCCACTCAACGTGGGCAAGCAAATTAGCATGATATGCATGAAAATAAGGTGCTAGTGGATAATGCTAAGTACAAACTAGCTAATGTGAACCAGCTGACACGGTGCCTTTGTTGCTTTTGTAACGAGCTAGAGAAGAATATTAAGATTCATACATGTGTACTGAATTTTCGTTTTTGAAAATATACTAAAAGAGTTGATTGTTTTAGATCATAGAAATGGTAACTGGCATTTACACCAACTAGGATGTACATAGACAACTAAACAAATTAATGGGCCATATCTAAAGTAACAGCCTCGAATACATGTTTGATGCTCTTTGGTCATTTTTAATCGAACAAGAGGTGTTAATGTTCAGTCCTCTCTTACAGGTTACTTGCCTCTTCAACTATATGACTGGGTGAATAAACTCAATCCTCTAAAATATTACTTGCCTCTTCTGTAAATTTACCAAGTGCAGAAATGTACAATGCCATTACACTACACAAGCTTATTTATACTGATTACGAAAGTAATTAGTAACTAGTATCAGTACCTGTAACAAGCTTAGCCTTGAAAGCCTGTCTGTGCCTTTGAATAGGTTCCATATAATAAAAAAAAACACCATCTTTCTTTAGTGCACTCCATAACCGTTTAGAATAAGAGTGTCAGCTATCACCTTCCTTGCTTCAGAACATAATTTCTCAGCATCATTCCCTTCAATTGGATGGTGAATAATGAGCTTTACTGAACCTGAATTAAGGATGCCTTCCATTCCAGAAGGCATCAGTTTCCCTGTCCCGAGAAGAGTAATAGGTATCACAGGAGCACCGGTCTTTGTAGCCACACTGAATGCACCTCTCTGGGGACATTTATAACCACGTCAGTACACCATGAGAAGGTTAACATTATATACTGAATATAAAAATCTCATTAGATGTAATGTAACCTAAGTTTGGTTACTGAACCTTAAATGCACCTAGCTTTCCATCTTTGCTTCTAGTCCCCTCTGGAAAGAAAAATACAGATGCTCCTTTTTTCACCAAATCCACACACCGTTTAAGACAGTCCTGAATTTTAACAAACCATTTGTTATGCTCAGCATGGAATACAATGTTGACATACTACAAATATATAGGAAGGCGATCATGCATTAAACAAAAACGATGCTAACATTCAAAGATAGAAATAAACAAAATTCATTATGTGGTTTGGCCTTATGTGTATGCAACAAAGTTCTTCATTTTAAAGAAGGTGCTATAACTGTGTGAACAGAACTATGTTCAAGGCAGCCAACAAAGAGAGTTTTGTGTTTTCCCCAAAATCATATATGATTCATAAAATCTTGTTTATTTACCAAATACTGTAAATGTATATATGTCTACTTAAGAAAGCAGGGATGAGACTACAGCCATACCAGCTGGCTCCTGCTGTCCATACGCCGCAAAGGAATTACTCCTAAGAGATACATTGCCCATCCAATAATTGGGAACATAAATATACTTGTCTTGCTTATAAACTTGAAACACCTTCCTAGAGTTAGAAGGGTATAGATATCCAAGAAACTCTGATGGTTCGCAACATAGACAGCAGGGCTACTATTCGGTGGCAGGTTCTCCATTCCCTCGACGTCAAGCTTGTAGAACATGGAAATTGTCAGAGTTGCCCAAATCTTTGCAATGTAGTGCTGAGCTCTCCTCCGGTATCGGTCAAATAGGAGCACAAGTGGATGAACCACAACCATGGCGACAAACAAAAAGATTGCTGCAACTGCAGTCACCGCGTAGAAGCAAACCCCTCTGACCCTTGAAACCACATCGATGTCTGGTAACCAAATCAACAAACAAAAGTAACCACATAAGAAATGCAATTCTGGAATTTGGTATGAATCCCATTAGTTTGTCCATGAACATGATTTTATTTGCATCCGCACATTACATGTAAACTGCATAGACATAGTTTTTTTTTTTTTTGTTTTGCATTATACGTCTTAGTAAGAAATATCCATTGCCGCTCAAATTCCATGAAACATAAATGCACAATAGCTAGTTTTAGCTGCTACAAGTTCTGTAGAAAGTCTTAACAACTGCCAGTTATCCTCAATTTATACTTACATTCCATTGACACCTTCCAAGTTGGTGTGGAGCTAACTGTTATAAGCCAACAATATGTCAAGGTGGTTAACAAGAATGATGTGCTGGCAATGATTATGTTTGATTTCCACACCTTCAGTTTTAAAATTATAGATGGCAATTTTGTCACTGCAGGTTCAAACGATTTTTCTCCCCTCCACAATTCCACATTTTGTCAAGCAATTGCCAACAACGTTCCGAATGTAATGTTCCAGCAAACTACATTAATGGCTATGAGGCCAGCCCAGCGAGAGGAACATAGCAACACATTTTGCGAGAAGAGAGTGGAGGAGGCTGCAAACCTGAGAGCGCCTGCGGCGAATCCCCCATGGTAGCGGCACCACCAGCGGCGAAATCCGATCTCACCACGGTCTCCCTCCGCCTCCTCCAGCTCGCCGTCGCCACCGCAACCTGCGGACCCGGGCGGCGGCGCACCCGATGCGGCTGGCACTCCACGCCACGGCCGCGGCCACCGCTCACCACCACCGCTGCGGAAAAAAAAAAACACCCAAATCACAAACCCAAACCCAAACAGGATGAGAAGAGAGATCAGCGAGCGGCGGGGGGGGGGCCTCTCGAGAGGCGCGTGGCTACCGTGCGCGGTCGACGGCGTGGCGTCGCCGGCGCCGGCGGCGTGGGCGAGCGGACGCGGCCGGAGGAGGGTCCCCATAGGGGCTCACGCCTCCTCCTCCTCCTCCTCCTCCTCCTCCTCCTCTCGACGGCGGCGCGGCGGAGGCTTTGGATCAGGGGGCGGCGGCGAGTGGATGGGTGGATTGGGTAGAGCGGAGCGGTCGCCGTTGGCCGCCGATGGCGATGGAGAGCTTTGGATGTATTTAAGCGGATGATAAAATTCGTTGGAAACCAAGGCGTCGGTGGCGAATCGCGATGCGAACGATGGATGAACAAGCCGTGACGTCTGGAAAAATTCAGCAAATTTGATCCTTGTTTAGATTCCAACAAAATTTGGCCAAAAAGATCGCATCAAATATTTGGACATGCATGGAGTATTAAATGTTGACGAAAAAAAAAACCAATTACACAGTTTGCATGTAAATTACGAGACGAATATTTTTGAGCCTAATTACGCTATGATTTGACAATGTGATGCTGCAGTAAACGTTTGCTAATGACAGATTAATTAGGCTTAATAAATTTGTCTCGTTGTTTACAGGCAGAATATGTAATATGTTTTGTTATTTGTCTATATTTAATACTTCAAATGTGTGTCCGTATACTTTAAAAACTTTGCACCCAAAGAACTTAAAAAACTTTACACCCATCAAATATATCTGTAAGGCCTCATGGAGTTAGGGAAAATTTTTGGGTTTGGTTGTCACATCGGATATACGTACACACATTTGAAATAATAAACGTAGTCTAATAACAAAAACAAATTACAGTTTCTGCCAGGAAACTGTTAGATGAATTTATTAAGTCTAATTGATGCTTGTATACAGACCAATCATTTTGAAAACTAAGTTTTTTTTTCAATCATAAAAAATAAAGTACAAAAAATATTTAACGTTTACGATAAGAATAGCTTCTTTTAAAAAGGAAAAAGTCCATATGTACCCATAAACTTTTGATAGAAATTCCTCTAGCATCATGAACTTTAAAATTGGATATTCAACCCCCTAAGTTTTGTAATGCCATTTATATTGTGGTTTTCGATAGTGGTTTACTTATTTGGCAGCTTAAATGACTAGTTTTGAATATTTAATATAGTATATTGCCAATAATCGATCACCAATTTATACTATATTGTAATGTGAATTAGTACTATTGATATTCCTATGTAAGAGAGAAAAAGAAAAGGGATAAAATGAATTGCAACTTAAGACGAACGTGTAGATTTTGTGCATCTCACGTTGTCAAACTATTTCAGCATGTATGCAATTAAATGAAAACCACTTCAGGGTGTAATATGAATAATATAAAGTTCAGGTGTAATATGAATAATATAAAGTTCAGGGAGGGAGGGAGGGTTGGATGTCCGATATCAAAGGTAAGATAGACTCAAGTCAAAATTTCTGAGGATATTCAAACTTTTGTTATGAGTGTCTACGTGGTGGACTTGATTTTACCAAAGATAATGAAAACGTAAACTCAACCATTTATGTGTTGGAGGGACCGTTTTGTCTTTTGTGCCGAAGCTATTTATAAAGCACGGGCCGAAACCGGTGAAACCTTCAGAAAATTACAGCCATCAATAATTTATTGAGTGCTTAGTTTAAAAACAAAGGAGACAATATACATAGACTAGCCTCAAAAAGTTATGCTATCATGTATTATGAACTTGTTACTCCAAGATTTTATAAAATTATTATGATATTAAAATAATGGTTAACCAAATCTTGTAGTACTAAACAATAAACATCATGATAGCATGGAGTGTACATTCTAATAAAAAGAAATGCTGCAATCAGAGTTGCATCAATCTCCGAGATCATGAAAAATCGGTATTTCAACTAGGGACTTCTTAACTTCCACAAAACAGAGCGGAATACGGCATTTGCAACAGCACACCAACCATACACTTCTACACAGAATTTGATGGCCACCAAAGTGAGAGAAGACGCAGATGATATTGCATTGCTAACATGTGATTTATTCTAAGCTTCATCAGATTAAGACGTGTGGTCACAAGGTACAAACTGTATGGACGTCTCTGAATAACTGAAACACCACACACTACACTGAACATTCATCCCTATGCTGTTGCTACTTTACACTTAATTAGAGAAAAAAAAAAGGAGGGCTACTCCCATCATGCTAAGAAAAATAACATCGCTAGATGAGAAGAAAAAATTACACAAAACATGAGCAAAAACAACAGGGGAAAACATAAAAAAAAAAAGAATGAAACCATTGTTAGCTCCCAAGCCCACTGCAGGTCAGAGTATCAGTCCATCTGCAGAGCCCCAGGCCAAGACAAACACTTGTGTGTATGCTTTTTTGCTGCAAAGAGGTTGTTAGTTGATCTGTACAGGCCCCTCTTCACTCTTTCTATGAAAGTTTGCATTTCTCGATAACTTCTGTGACAGCTGAGTGCGTTTCCTCTGTGATCATATTGAGCTGCAGATGGAACGACTGAAAGAGAAACATGATGGATTAATAAATGATGGAAGCAGAATAAGCTCAGGCAGCTTCAGAGTTAATCAAAATGAACAAAAACTAGCAGCTTAGATAGGCATGCACTCAACCAGTGTGGGCACACAATATTCTCAGAGTCAAGTCCTAAATCGCAAGTTAAGAAAGAGTTGTGCCTGGAGTGCTAAGCCAAGAGGGTAAGAGGTTAGATACTTAGAAACTCCCTTTTTACCTCTATCTGTTGTAAGAGAACATTTAATTACGTAGCCAACATGTTGGCTTGATTTGGTGCTGTACTTCAACTGGGAGTTATCAATAACTTAACTCGGTACCAGATTGTGTCTCTCATCTCAAGGGTAGTGATAAAGGTATTACACAAAGTTTCAAATGTGACAGCAGACAATCTTACAGTGGGAGCACACTAGCATTTTAAGGGTTAAAAGTCCCAGCCGGAATGTTTTCTCCAGTTGAGAAATAAAACATCCTGTTACTATTCAAACTTGAAACAAGTTCAAATTTTCCTTATTTATGTGAAATTTTGCAAACAGGCTTCCTGGATGGGAAGTACAATTATGGTGACACCTCACACCTCAGACATGAAAAATTAATGATTTCCAAAATGGAGTAAATTCAAAGATCATCCATACTTTTTTATACAAACAGTAGTTCAAGAATTATGGAGACATACCACAAATTTCTCTAGCGCAGGCACAAGGATTTTTAAGCTGTTATTTGGAAGGCAGCTGGAAATGGCTCCACGAACCTTCATGCTGTTGCAGTTAACAGACAGTATAAGTTAAATGCCATAGTGCTGACATTATGCAAGTAGTTAGACATTAATAAAACAATCCATCAACTACAGATTGCAAACCTTTCAGTTGAAAGAAACGCAAGAAGAAGGGCTGCATAGGCCTCTACGATCATCATTTCAGCTTCCCGTGCTCCTTGCATCAAAGACTCCTCATCATCCTGTTGTTTACAAGCAACAGTCAATCAAATGGTTCATAGAATGTCATAATGAATGCATTGTGAGGTACACAGTTCTGTATAACATTATAAATTGCAATAACCAAGAACTAAAAAAAAATGCTAATGTTCCCAGTGCTTTCAATTGTAACAAAATAAATTCAACTCAAGCTTCTGGAAATCCAATTTATAGCTATGTTAATAATAATCTGTATGTGTTAATGAAATTTGTGGGTTTGTGGCATTGAGAACATTGCATTAAGATGGCCTTTCACTTCTAACCCGATGTCAATAGAAGGGAATACCATTTTACTTCATAGTAGTTGAACAAATGGTGCACTAAATTATTCTTTGAAATAGAACCTCAGTAATTTCGGTCTAACTAGAGTTGGTAGACTGGATTCAGATAGCAAATATTTATCATTGACATTATTACACATGCATTAATTTTCATCTCATAGATAACAGTATGTTACATGCAAAATATTGTTTTCTGAATAAGATCAACTGTTCTGCTGACCTATGCTAAGGAGCAAAATAAAATACTGCTTTTTGAAACAAAGAGCAGGTAATAAATGCCGAGTTTTACAAAGATATAATCTACATACAAAAGGAACTTGAAGAATTTTGAATTACCGGTGATATAGTTCCAGAAGCTTCACTAGCACCTTGACTTGCTAAGAATACAGAACAGAGGAGTGCTATGACATCTCTCTGTGTCTCTTCACTCTGTGGATTCTGAGATAGATCAACAGGAACACGGGCAGATGAAAGCCGTACCCTGTGGAGAGGTTATAAAGTATTTCTGAGTCGTTAAGAGAACATGAACATTAATTGGATGTTTCTGAGTCCTGACCCCAAGGAACTGCCAGAACAGTAACACTGATATGAATTGAGCAAATGGAAGGAAGCATGTGAGGGACTTACCTATTAAGGCTATCCTTCTCTACAAGGTTAACAAGCAAGCCCAATATGGCAACCAGAAAATCAAGTTCATGATCTCGCAATTGCTTAATTTTGACCTGGTGTGCCTTGCTGTTTTGAGAAGATGATAACTCATGATCAAGATTGACATCTCTCGTGTTATAGTTGTTGTCCACGACAAAACAAAATGAGGGGAAATGCTTCATGATCAAGGAGGCCATGGTGTTAAGTCCACCACATGACGCAATCAATTCACAACCAGATGGGTTGTCATTTGCTAAGTTCATAAGAACCTGCCAGAAAGGAACAGCAGAATTAGATGTGTGCCAATACGGTCAGCAAAATAAAGGGCAACCAAAATTAGACTTTTCCAGGAGTTGTTACATTTTCTTTGAAACAATAAGGCAAAGTTCATACTTCGGCCTAACCATTTACCAGATATCCAAGAAAGGAGCTAGCAAAAAAACATTAAGACAGATCAAGTTGTTTGGAAGATCTCATAAAACGATAAAAAATAGACAATGTAAGGGCATGTAAAGGTAACATTAGGCTCACAGTCAGAACAAGCATGAGTCCCGGTGAAACAATTATATTGTCCTTAAAAATCTTTTGAAAGTACCTTCTTTCTACACTTAAATTTAATCATAAACTGTCTTACATATGCATGTTAGCTGAACTATGTAAACTTAAGCACTCACTACACTCAGACACAGAGTGCCCAGCACATATCATGTACTAAAAGATAGTAGATACAATACAATAGCAATTTAGCTCGAGGCTCTGTCCTAAACCTCCAATCAGGATCACGTCTCATAAATTGCTACTGTATGATATGGATGGTGCCAATTTCTTCTAGGAGATGTTACAATACTATTTTGTACAGAATACATACACGACAGATGCTATAGATTGAGGAGCCATATTGAAAAGGAAATTTTGTGAATTCAAAATATGTCACTCAACAAAGTCACAAAGACAAACCGAGAAACTGTGACCCAAGAATGTATATTCTCTTGAAGAAGAAACAAGAAAGATCAGAAGGAAACATATTTAATTACCTTAACTGATGCCAAGAGGCAGTCTTCCAAAAGACTGGATTCATCTTTAGCACTAAAAAGAGATGTTGTACCCGACTGATTAAGATCTTCAGGTTGGTCTGGTTCATGACTTGCAACTAGCACTCCATTTCCTGATTTGTCTTGATGTTTCTGAGGCGATTTCTTTTTTGGACCAAGCAGTTCCCAATTTGAAGGCTCCTGATCAACATCATCAAAAGCAAAAGGGTCATCACCGCCACCACTGTCGGTGATTACATTTTCAGATAGACGGCGTCTTTTTGCCATTTCTCTGGAGTTCCCATCAGAACTGTGCGCTCTTATTGAAATCCACCCACTTGAGCCTCTAATTGGATTTGCATTGCCACGATCCTTTTTTATATTCAACTTCAAAGCACCACCATTGCTATGTCTCTCGCCTAATGAACCACTTGATGCCCCATTGCTTGATATAGATGGAGAACAATTGAATGCCTTCTGTGACAGACCAGCATCACTACCAGAAGATATAGTAATATGAGAAACTTCTGATTTTGAAGATAAGCAACTATGGCGTGTCTGGTTCGACAAAAGGTTTTTTTTCTTCGAGTTCTTGCGCTTTCCATCATTAAATGAAGTTCCCCCCATGACATCTGCTGCATAACAAAGTTTCAAGAACGACACTAATTAAACTTATATGAGGAACCAACAAGATAATCTGGGTCAGGAAACATGAAATATTAAAAATATCAGGTAGCGTTTTATAAATATTGGTGCCACCGTGTCAGGTCAAGTTCAACATCTGTAGTGAGACTTGAATGGCGACCAAACTATATTGAAACAGTGCACAGAAAAGCCAACGAGTTGATCAAACAAATTTGGTGTTTGTTATTACCAGAGCAACTCTGTTGAGAGACTTTAGACGATTTCGGATATGTAGAGCTGGAAACAACAGAAGAATTCTGCAGTATTGAAAGAGCTGCAGCAAAACAAAATAGGCGTCAGACTGCAACTTTAACATACTGGATGTTTAAAACATTTTATTGTGTTAGCGGACATATTGTATTATTAAGAAAAATACCTGATAATAACTCAATAATACTGATAATGACACCAACAAAAGAAAGCGAGGAGCGTTTCGGGTACAATTTTCTACTCATATTAAGCAAATGGGTCTGCAAGAAGCAAAATGAGTGTAAGAGTTTATACTGCTTTTCAGGAAAAAAAGAAAAATGTTAAGCAGAAATACAAAGTCACACTGTTTGCACATTTTGCACAGAACAAATGAGGGGAGAAGATGGTACAGAAGAAGAAAATGGGTACTAAACTGAAACAGAATATATAAGGAACATTACCTTGTTATCATCGCTTAGAAATGTGGCATTTTCCAATATTTTCAAACATTTCAAGAGGAGAGCGGCACTTTGCAAAGATGTTCCTTCATTTAGGTCCAAAGCTGAAGTTGAGGTATCCTTTATGAGATTCTGATACACAAGGTTTCCACCAGAAGTATATTGTTAATTTATTTATTCAGTTTATCAGCGTAATATGATTGCATTATTAGTTGGGGGCATAAAAAGTACACAGATAGGAGCACCAAGCAGTTTATCTCTTAAAGGGATACGCAATTTACTCCAAAGTTTATGCAAGAACAGCAAGTATAGCTGGAAAAGTAACATCCAAATGAATAATGTCCACTTGGTGTAGATATGTCAAGTATTATTATCGTGGGGGATATAATCATCAGAGGAATCACTGTAAGACACTAACACCACATGCAGAATAAAAAAGTATTAAAAAACTATTTTGCAACATGAAACAACATAATTTGTGATGCAGCCAATTTTCCATGTCCTGATGAAAATAGTTACTACCTCAAGCATTTTCCATGTCCCAAAATATAACAACCTTTGGCTATGTATCTGGACAAGCATTGCTTTCATGTGGCTTCAAGCACATTAAAGCTAAAATGGCAAAAAGGAACAAAACTTGCACCATCCTTTAGAGTTGAACAAAGGAAGTGTAAAATATGCGATGTTAGCGAGATCTCACCTCCAATGTTGAATGGCAATCCATCATAACGTCAAAAATACTATCAAGACCGCCCAACTCCCTTAATGTCTCTTTAAAATTTCCTCCGACTCTGGACACAGTGTCAGAAGTCTCTGTAACAATCAAATATTTGATAAGGGAAAACCTTCCTAGTATGACAATGGCCATAGGTGCTTCTAGTGCAGTCAATTACTCCAATTCAGTTGTGCAACACGGATGGAAGTCATCAATCAAAGGCAGGTGAAGCAAAGGGCTAAGCAAACCACCCATGAATATTGTAAACAGGTGCTATGTAACTTATGGCAACTGCTTATTTGGCTCATAAAAATAATTATAATGGTCATAAAGGGAAATCATGACCAAGAAATTTGATTAAAACTTACCCTCCACTGAAACAGCAGACAAGCATGCCTTTTCCATTGTCAACAAAGCAAGCCACTTTGGACACAGTTCTGGCCTTGTTGTTTTCTTGTCATCTTTGTCGAGCGACTTGATCTCTTGACAGCTTAAGAGAATCTCTTCAACTTTTGAAAGGATTTCCTCTGAAATGCAGTCAGAATCCTTATTTGATCCATTAAGCATTTGAACTTTACTGATTCCAAGAAGTTTGGAACCTATCGATGGTGCTTTGGAATCAACAAGATTCACTGGAGGATTTAATAATTTAAGAAGAAAATGGACACAAGATTCTGAATCCAACAAATGATTTTCTTGAACCTGAACAACAAGAAGGGAGATATTGGAGAATAAGCACAAGTGAAGTTATGCCATTAAAGAATACGAGCTGCTAGCAATATTAACTGAAATTTACACCATAAATTAAAGTTCAACTTCAAACAAAATGATGAAATAAAAGCATGGACTTTCTTAAATAATCTTCTTTGTAATCACATGCCAAGATATTCATGGAAAAGTGGTGAATACTTATATAACTGTACTGGAGAAATAAATAACTTTGCCATGATGTGATTATTTTTATGGGCTGTTATATAAAAGAAAACAATCGATATGCGTAAAAAATAGAATGAAGCATGCACAGAAGCACAAGGATGGGATTGAGAGGTACTCACATCACTTGCCAAAACGAATAGAAGAGCAGCTGCACCAATAGTGCAGGGAGGATCATCAATGTTCAAAACCAAAATTGCATCAATAATTTGTTGCACCAATCTATAGGATATAAGAAAAGAGGACACTTGTGAGTAAGAAAACAAAACGCAATGTATAATAATTTCATTAACGGAATATGTGTTTGTTGAATGGAACAATTTCAGCAATTGAATACATTTGAAATTCAACAGGAAAATGGATACAAATAGGAAGTGTGCTGGTGCGTAACAAGTTGTACATTTTTACTCTCAGCAATTTTATTTGTGCACATTAGCATAAATGGGTACGAAGTAAAATAAAAAGTTGCAAGAGTCCATAACAGTTCAAGCAATCAACCTCCTCACAGAAAACATGTCATTTGCTAACATGAACTTCCATCAAGTGCTTCTTTTATTCACAGTAGATTGCGATGTTTATACAGCTCAAGTGGAAATTCCACAAAAGTTTTGTGAACATTGTAGCATTGTGCTTTTGGTTTATAAGACTCTGCCTAAGGCTCTGGCTGGCACTCCTTAATCTAAAGCGATTTTGAACTTTTAAGAATAATTTTAGGTAGAACTTTACCTGTCTACTTAGCAATCATGAAAAGAGAGCCAGGCACCAAAAGTAACAAATAAAAGAGATTAAGTACCAAATAGAAACTCTCCTGAAAGTTCAAAATTGACTGATCTCTTGGCCTCGAGAGATATATTAGGCTAGAGATCAATGGATATTGGATAGCATTTCCAGCAGTAACATTCTACAGTCATATCTACATAGATACCCAAGCAATCCTAATTCAGTTAATAAAGATGTATTTCTAGTATCTAGGCATTCATCATCAGTCACTATGCTTCCTTCCTCTACAACCATGTGAGATTAGCAAAATAAAGAGACCAACATGCTAGAAATGCTCAAAGATCACACTTCCTAAACCCAGCTGTAACACTCGGTACCAAATTGGGCAAGGCAGAGGTTAAGACAAGTAGCGAACATCTAATTCTGCACCACCACGGTGATAACCCTAACCCTAACCAAGCAAGAAAACTCAGAACAAGAAAACAAACACAAGTTGGTAAATCATAATTCAGAACAAGTTCTTGTGCCTAAGATGAAGGCAATAGCTACGGATTGCAACACCAAGCATGCTGTTCGAAGGTCAAATGCCCTAAAGGTGGTTCATTTCCCACAGAAATGCCGATTACGGAGCCATAATCGTACAAAATCCCACTGTTTCCGCCAAGATTACGCAGAAGAAACAAGAACTGGCTGCCCAATTTCATAACCCTAACAAGATTCCTCACCAAGATTGCCCGCGAAGCAAGAGCAAGAACGCGAATTGTTATTCTTTACTTACAGCGCAGACAAGTAAGAAAAAAAAAAGGAGGGTTCTTTGGTGTACCGACCCCTGGGCCCGGAGGACGCGGCGGCGCGGCGCGGAGGCGCAGATCCCGAGCAGCGCGAGGAAGCTGGCCCGGCGCACCCGCCTCGGCGCGGTGGCGCGCAGCCCGTCGAGCGCGAAGTTCGCCTCGTCCACGCTCTCCATCATCTCGCCGTACTCCTCCGCCTCCATGAGCGAGGTGGCCGCCGCCGCCGCCGCCGCCGCCGTGGCGGGCTCCGCGTAGTCCCCACCCCCACCCCTCCCCCGCCGCCGCCGGGGCGGCGGCGGCGGGTCCTCGTCGAAGTCCCACATCGACGACGACTCCTGCGACGGCGCGGGCGGGTGCGACGACTGCGACGACGACCCCAGCAGGACGAGGTCGTCCTCCTCCTCCCCGTCGAATTCGAACGCGTCTTGCGACGACGAGAACCCACCGCCGCCGCCGCGCTCCCCTCCTCCCCCGTCGGAGAAGGAGCGGGATCTGCGGCCGTAGGTGCGCACGATCATCTCAGCTGCTGCTGCTGCTGCTGCTCCGCCTCCTAGCTGCTGCTGCTGCGGCGGCGGCGGCGGCGCGCATAGGAGAGAGGAGAGAGAGATTTGGGAGTCGTCTCGTCTCGTCTCGCGGGGGTGGGGATGTGGGTGACGTCGTCGTGGGGGGGATGGGTTTGGATTTGGATTTCGAAATTTTTTGCTGCTGCGGCTGCGGCTGATCCGGATTTGGGAATTGGGAATCGGGAAAAATGGAGGCGGAGGGGAGAGGCGTGCGGATTTGGGGGAAATCGGAGGAGGAAACCGGGAATGGGACGAGGAGGAGGGGGAGCTGAGGCGCTGAGCTCGGCTTGGCTCCGGATGTGCTCGGCTCGGCTCGTGGCGTTGGGCCAAGCTAGCTAGCTAGCCAAGAAAGGGAAGGGGATTTGTAAAAAGAAAAAAAAAAGGAAGGAAGGGGTGGGACCCACTTGCATAGGAAGGCGGTTAGGCGGTGGGTGGGATGGGGCGCTTCCTAGCCGTTGGATTGTTGGTGTTCCATCTTGGCATCTCATGTGGGAGGATGACGAGCCATTCGGTGATTTTCGATTTAGTTGGTGTTTGTATCGATCAGTGTTACGTCGGATGTATACTAATTAAAAGTATTAAACGTAAACTAACAATAAAATTAATTGTATAAATGAGAGCTAATTCGTAAGATAAATTTTTTAAGCTTAATTAATCCGTAATTAGTACATGTTTACTACAGCATCACATAGGCTAATCATGGATTAATTATGCTCAATATATTCGTCTCGCGAATTAGTCCAGGGTTATGGAATGGGTTTCATCATTAATCTATGTTTAATACTTCTAATTAGTGTCAAATATCCGATGTGATAGGGATTAAAATTTAGTCCTTGGATCCAAACACCACCTTAGATGAAGATGAAGATATTTTAGTCCACGTAAAATGAAACAAGTTAGTAATGATTAATTGAGTTTTACTTTTATAAACCCTAAAAGTAAATTTTATTTGATATTTTAGAGTAAGTTTATATACAAAATTAAAAAACAGTTTGAAAAACATGCTAATGTATCATGTATCTTGATGAGAAAAGAACATAACCTAAATGAAGATGAAGATATTTTAGTCCACGTAAAATAAAATAAGTCAATAATATATATGATTAATTGAGTTTTTTAAAACTCCAAAAATAGATTTTATTTGATATTTTAAGTATTTTTTATATAGAAAATTAAAAAACAGTTTGAAAAACGTGTAAATAAAAATTAAGATAGAACTTTTATCATAATGGACAAAAGGATGTACTAGTAGTTGTTGAGCCACAGGGAATTCGTGAGTAGTGAGAACCAACCCGTTGTTGCTGGGAAATTCGTGGGAACTATAGTACCCCGTTGATTGCATCTTCTTCAACCTCTCGGTCAGGTTAGTGGTGCTACTGTTCACGCCATGGTTGACGCTGGTCAAACGCTCGTTTTCTTCACCCTCGTCAACGTCCCGTCTTCCATTTCATCGTTTTGCTCCACAGACCACAGCTGCATAGAGAGTTAGAGACCCACCTAGTTGTATCCTCCTGAAAAACCTCTACAATTTCTTTCTTTTTGCCTTTTCAGGCTTTTGCTGCACGGTTCTCACTTTATAAAATGGAGGCCAGTTTAGGGCAAAGAAGTGCCAAAACCTCACTTTAATTACAAAACCGAGTAGTTTCTTTATTTACTGCTGGCAAATTTTTTAATTGAAATGCTTTTTTTTTCCAAATCTCACTCACCTTCTTCCCAAATCAAAATTATATTTCACACCAAATACTCTATTTAAAAGGGTGTTTAGATTCAGGGATGTAAAGTTTTGGCGTGTCACATCGAGTATTATATAGCTTATCGTATAGGATCAATAATTAGTATTTTTATTAGTGCCCAAACACCCTGTGCGACACTATATATAATACCCGATGTGACACGCCCAAACTTCACATCTTTGGATCTAAAGCACCCCTCAGTGTTCTAAACCCCCAAATAAACCATTAGAAATTCAGAATAAGTCAGCCCCGTACAACTGGTCGACGAGCAGCGGCGGTCAGTGTAGCACACACGGTGGTAGCTGCGTCCAGTGGACTCATTCTATGTAGGCACCCGATGGCCAGTATTTTGGCTGTACGCCGGACCACGAAAAACTGCTATCGCCTGCGCCCACTGGTTTCTGCCGTCTGCTGGTTTCAGGATGCTTCAGGTTCAGGACTTTGCTTGATTGCTTTCTGTTTCCGGGAGCTGCTACTACTCCTGTGCCCAAGGAGAAAGAAGTTCACTGTTTGTGCAGGGAGGTGGAGAGGGATAACTATTCTAATATCTTGAAAGAATATTAGGGCCTATTTAGTTCCAAATAAAAATTTTCACGTTGTCACATTGAATATTTGGGCACATACATAAAGTATTAAACGTAGAAAAAATAATAATTACACGGTTCGTCAGGAAACTGCGAGACGAATCTTTTAAGCCTAATTGCGTCATGAGTTGACAATGTGGTGCTATAGTAAACATTTGCTAATGATGTATTAATTAGGCTTAATAGATTCGTCTCGTAGTTTTCTGGCGGAATCTGTAATTTGTTTTGTTATTAGAGTGCATTTAATACTTCAAATGTGTGTCCGTATATTCGATGTGAGATGAAACTAAATATGCCCTTGATTCCTTCGTTGTTTACATGTCATGGTTCAATATTACGGAAATCGGCATGTATTGGGGAATGATTGAATTGAAATTTCCGGGAATTTCGATAGAGAAATTGAAGTTTGAATAGATCTTAGCTGAATTTGAACAAGCTTTTAGCAAATTTATCATTTAAAAAAAATCTAATTAGCTGAAAGAATATCCAGGCGGAGGGAACCAACCGACTTGAAAATTTTCAGTCAGAAATATGGGACATATATACTAGAGATGGACATATAGAGTTGGAGAGCTCAGAGGCAGCTAGAGATGATCTTTGATAGGGTACAAAACTACAAATTACTCAAAAACTCTACAGAGATCATACAACTTAAAAGAAAAACCATCTGTAGTTTTCGATCACCCAAGCTCTTATTACCAAAAGTAATCCCAAAAAAGAAAACACTTGAGTTACATCTTACAACAATCCCATATTCCCATCCCATGATCCACCAGTGAACAACACAACTTTCACTCTGCACCATCATATCGTACACATCAAGCTGATCATTAACAGCTAAGTAATTCGTGAGAAACGCGTCCTACAAATTCTCCTCCATCGATCTTTCTTGGTAGAGAGGAGAAGAAGAAGAAGAGCACAGCAAAATCCTAGACGAAAATCAATAGCACATCACTCTCACTCACTGATCGTGATCGGCCAAGCCGACGAGCTTCTCGCTGAGCTCCCAGACCTTCTTGGCCTTCTCCGGATCGGAGGCCTCCTCGGAGAGCTGGTTCTCGAACGAGGCCGAGTTGTTGTTCCAGCTCCAGTACACCCCGGACTTGGTGAGGCTGGGGTCACTGACGACCTGGGCCAGCCGCTTGCCGGCCTCCTCCTCGGAGACGTAGCCCTTGGTGATGTACTTCTGGAAGGGCGGGAAGAGGAGGCGGAACAGCGGGACGTGCTCCCGGAAGAGGCCCGTGGTGGCGATGCACCCGGGGTAGAGCGACGCGAACGTCACCCCGGTCTCGCCGTGGTACCGGCGGTGGAACTCCTGCATCGTCAGCATGTTGCACACCTTGCTGTCCTTGTAGGCCTTGGCGCCGTCGAACTCGCCGCCGTCGATCATGGCGGAGCTCGACACGCCGTCGAGGCCCGAGGCGAGCCCCCGGAGGTCCCCCAGGTTCGCCTTCGGCGGCACGTTCCCCGCCAGCGTGTTCGTGTTCCCTGCATTCATCGTATCGAAATTAGAACGATGTTCTTATAGTAACATGTTACAATAGAATGTTGCCGATATGCTTTCAAATGATATGATATTTTTTTTAAAAAAAAGTTACAACTGCACTTATAAAGTTTTTTTTTAAAAAAAAATCAGCTTATCGACTTTGTAATACTTGATTCATTCGTTTATACTATCAAATAATTATCATACCCATTTTAGAAAGCAGTATAAGGTTGTGCCCTCCATGCACAGAAAAATAATCCATTAATTAAGTATTATCTAAGAAGAAGTTTTCACTTTTAGAGGTTTGTGCTTGTGTGGTTAGCTCGTGGTTCTTGAACGCACACGCTGGTGCGCATCATCCTCGACAACTTCCTATTATGTTTTTCTTGTAACTTTTTCTCATTCTTAATACATTCAGAAGGTCTCTTTCAATCTTCCCGATGAAAAAGAAAAACTTAAAAATTGGATTAATCACAACAACTTCCTATAATTTTTTTTATAAAACATGCAATTTTTAGCAGTTCAGTAATTGTAGTAATTGTGTACGTGGAGAACTACAAAATAGTAGAAGTTGGAAGCTTTGACATTAGAACACAACAGCCTAATTCTGGTGAGGAAGAAAGGTTGTCATTACCGGTGATGGAGCCGACGATGATGAGGCGCTTGGAGGGGTAGTCGGAGGAGGTGAGGTCGGCGAGGAGCTCGCGGGCGAGGAGGAAGTGCCCGAGGTGGTTGACGCCGACGCTCATCTCGAAGCCGTCGGCGGTGAAGCTCGGCTGCTTGGCGGTGGGCTGGTACACGGCGGCGTTGCACACCACCACGTCGACGGGCATCTCCAGCCGCCGGACGTTGGCGACGAACTGCCTGACGCTGTCGAGCGACGCCAGGTCGAGGTGGACGATGGTGTAGCTGCCCTTCTCCATGCCGGCGGCCTTGGCGGCGCGCGACGCCTTGAGGAAGTCGCGGCACCCCATGACGACGTGCCACCTGCCCGTCTCCGCCAGCGCCTTCGCCGTCGCGAGGCCAAGCCCGGACGACGCGCCGGTGATGACCGCCGTGCCCTTGCGCAGCGTCTGCTTGCCCGACGGCGACGCCGGCGTCACCGTCGGGGACGACACCGCCGCCGACGCCTGCGCGCGGATGGCCACCGACGACGTGCTCACCCTCTGCAGGAGAGTTTCAGTTTTCGTGGCAACAATGTCAAGATATATGAACAAACTAGGCCTTTGTTTTTATATAAAAAATTTTTTGGCCAAAAACATCACATCAAATGTTTGAACATGCAAGAATATTAAATGTGGGGAAAAAAATAATTGCACAGTTTATATGTAAATTGTGAGACAAATCTTTTGAATCTAATTATGCTATGATTTAATAATGTGATGCTACAATAAATATTTACTAATGATGGATTAATTAGGCTTAATAAATTCGTCTAGTTTACATGCGGAACCAAGTTTATGAAATTACAGGGAGCAAACTTGACAGTCTTGCAGTAAAATCAAGTTTATGAAATCGATCCACATCAATATGAACTTGAAATGCCAAAGCTAATTAAGTAGTAGTACAATTTTTTGGGGGTGTGGCGATGTCAGAGTTTTGAGCAACTATTTCTAAGTACAGCAAGTAAACCTTGCAATCTTGCACTAAAAGTTACCCAAATTCGCATCACTTTGCAATGCTATATATACTCAAACTAACACTGACATAAAATCCAGATCAATAGGAAGTCAAAATGCCAGGCTAATCAAGTATAATACAATTTTTGTGGCGCTGTCAGAGTTGTGAGCAACTACCATTTCTAAGTACATCAAGCAAACCTTGCAATCTTGCACTAAAAGTTCGTCAAAATTCACATCAGTTTGCAATGCTAGATACACTCACTCAGCAAGTCCAAATGTCAACCTGAAGTTGCAAATTAACCAGACACAAAGGCTACTTGGTTGCACTAACAATGGCGGCACACACTGATGTTACTAGCAATTAGCAAAGCTGCACACCTGTGAAAACAAAACAAGCCCCTGACATTGTCATAGCTAAAACGATGAGAGAATCATCATGATATAATCTCATTAGCCAGTTGATTAATGCCAAACACAGGCATAACCATTTGCAACGCCACGGGTGCTCCTAATCTGACAGAGCAAACCACAGAGCCACAGTGGTAAGCTCCTCCAACATAACTGAAAGTCTGAAACTAATAATCGTGAAGTCTAGAAACGAAAACCTGGCAATTCACTGAACGAACTAGCCAATTACTTGTACTACTCGCCAGTTAGTAGTAAGTACTAATATTAGCACTAACAAACAGAGCATCAGCACAGAGCAAGCAGAGTGCTGTAACAACATTATTACAGTTACTACCTTGGTGCGAAGGCCGAGAGCACTGGTCTCCAGCTTGAGCCCGTCGCCGAGACGAACGCCCAAGAACGCCGAGTCCTTCACCGCTCCCTACACCCCCAAAAACCAACCCAAAAACAAAAAAAAAACCATTTAACCAATCGCCGCCATGAACACGAAGCAAAACTCTGAACTAGTCTGAACTCTGAAATGCCTCCATGGCTGAATCCCCGAGCTTAGAGCTCTCACCTCCTTGCGGGCGGAGAGCGCGGAGGGGAGGAAGGAGGTGGTGGTGGCCGCCTGGAGAGCCATCGGAGATTTTTCTCTCTTTTTTTTCCTCTGCAGCGAAGTGAGTGAGGCTTTGGGGGGTTGGGGTTCTAAGCTAGAAGAAGAAGAGAGCGAAGGAGATTAGGCGGGCGTTTTATACCAGGTGGCGATAAGGCGATAGGGGGAGGAGTGCCACGTGGCGCCGAGCTGGCGATGGCCCGGCCAATGGGGTTTCGCGGGCTGGATTTCCCCTCAACGGGATATTTATTTTTTATTATTATTGTTTCTCGTCGTTTTTATCTCCTCTATGTGCGCTGATTTTTTTTTTTGGGTGTATGTTGGTCGCTGTTTCGGTTGGGGTCGATCGAGATGGTTCGAGTGAGTTGTGCGTGGATGGATGGGCCGGTTTTGTTTGGTCTCGCCGTGGATCGCGGTTGAAGGACCAGTATCTGGGAACGGATGAGATATGGGCCTGTTCAGCTGCTTGATACAGCCCCTGCAAGGAATAAGTTCACTTCATGACCCTTAAAAGTGATCGAAATCTAATTCGTATCCCTAAACCATAAAAACCATAAAACCGGATATCTCGACTCCCAAACTCTTAAAACCGGTGCAATTTGACTCCCTGGACGATTTTGAAGAGTGGTTTCGCTGACGTGACGCCTACGTGACAGTATTGACTCGGTCTTCTTTCCACGTGGCGTTAACGTGGCATTAGAAATAAAAAAAGGGACTGCCTATACATCATGCGATAGATTTTCTAGCCCCCTATCATGCAAATTTTTCAAGCCATAGGATAAATTTAATCTCATCTATTTAAATTTAGGGAGTAACTATTAAAAAAAAAGTTGGCATGTATTTACATTGTAAGTTCCTAAAATTACATATGTAATTACATATGTAATTTTAGTGTATTTATGATGTAAGTCATAAAATTACATATGTAATTTTAGTATATTTACGATGTAAGTCACAAAATTACATATGTAATTATAATGTAAGCACGATGTAATTAGTAAGCGTGGATCATAAGCAAAGTAGCAGTAGAAAACACTGCTCAAATGCAAGGAAAAAAAGCAGGCGTGTGTTTCGAAATTGAACGGTAAATATGTGAGACCCACAGAACGCAACAACAAAGTCCACATAATGCAACAACAAAAGCTCGGTCCATCTCAAAGTCCACAGCCGTGTATGACTTTGCTCAATCCAAATGCAGCACTAATTGTAAACAGAGATGAATGGTCAAAAAAGTGAAAGATTTAGCACCCTATTTTTTTTTTTGTCAACAGAGCACTAGCGATTCCGATAAAAAAATGTGCGAGAGCACTAGCGATTCCGATAAAAAAATGTGCGTGACCCATTACTCATTCACACAAAAAGAAATGTGGACCCATTGACATGTGAGGCCCACATGTCAGTCCTCTCTTTCACCTTCCTTCTTTCTCCTCCCTCTCTCCCTTCCCTCTCTTTCTCTCCCCTTTCTTCTTCCACTTCCTTCCCGGCACCGGCGGCCGGTGCCTTCTCCAACCCCATCCCGGCGAGAGCGCGGGCACAAGTCGAGCAGCAGGTCGTCACCCACGGCGCTGTCGGCGACGCCCTCCACGTCGGCGCGGCGCGCGGCCACGGCGGGCTCGACTTCTTCGTGTCGCGCTCGCACGCCGCCCGCCTCATCGACCTCGTCACCTCGCTGTCGTCTGCCCGTGTCGTCACGTCCAAGCAGCTCGTCTCGCACGTGAAGCTCTGCCTGGTGTGCCGCGACGACCTCATCTTCCTCCCATCTGCACATTGCTGCAATCAAGCAAAGAAAGTAGCAGGACAAGCAGTAGCAGAGTAAAAGAGAGGACGAGGCTTCATTGAAGTCACATAGGCTAGATTCTAAGGGCATTAGCAATTCGTCCGCCCTCAACAAGGAGCCAAAGCCTCCACGTAGGCAAAAAGCAAAACGAGGCTTTCATCTCCACAATGCGCGTGTAGCTTTGGATAGGCCGCATCGGCATCGCTCCATCTCCAATCTACGCGCCGCCGCTAGCTTCTTCCCCAGCTTCCCGCTTCTTCCGGGCTCCGGCCGGCGCCCCTCATCTCCTCCCCCGACCAGCGCCCCTCCCGTGGCCGGCGAGCGGACAAGCTCTGTGGCGTGGACCGCGGAGACTACGCAAGAGAGGCGGCGGAAGCCTGGCGGAGAGGCGACGGCGCCCGGGCGGAGAGGCGACTGAACCGGCGACAGCGCCGGCCGGAGCGGAGGCCCAGCCCGGGGCTCGCTAGATCTAGCCTCGGGCCCTCTCCGGCGCGGATGCGGCTTCTCTGGCGACCTCAGGGTGGATATGGCTCGGACGCCCCTCCTATCCCGTCTCCGGCGAGCTTCTCCGGCGCAGATGTGGCTCCCTATCCCCCCTCTCTCTCTCCGGTTTTCTCCAAATGGGCGGATGCGATTTTCCTGGCAAAAAGTTGATTTCTCTGACGAGGTCCTCGGAGCCAATGTTGGTCACACGAACCTGGAGAAGGAGCGGTCCCCACTCCCCTCTCTCCTCCATGCATACACTTTATCTAGGTAGACAAACATTGCCACACGCCACGTGTGTGCACTGTGAATGGCCTAAAAAGTCCCCGGCCATTGTGCTTCTTCAAAGTTGAACCTCGACTAGGAGTAATGTTCAACTTCTGAGCGTAAGATATAAGATATTAGGCCTGAGTAATTAGTTGGGCCAGATGTTAGGTCTAGCCCATTTAGCGCCTAGGGTTTAGGGAGCAATATATTTATGGGTGTTTTCGGGTGCCTCTTTTTCTACCCCTCGTTTTCCGCGCGCACATTTTTCAAATTATTTTTTGCAAATAATTTCTATATGAAAGTTGCTTAAAAAAATTAAATTAATCCATTTTTTTAAAAAAAATAGTTAATACTTAATTAATTATATACTAATGGAGCGCTACTTTTTCCCTGTGCGGAGGGTTCAGTTTGGGAAGTAGGGACAGCGAACACATATCTTCTCCTCTTCCTCGCACCGGCCGCCGGCGCAACACATGAGTTAGGGTTTCGACATTTTTGAGAGGGAGGGTTCAGGGCGACGGCGCGGGCGCGATGCCGTTAGAGATCGAGGGGCAGGCGATGGCGAGGTCTTCCGTCTGGAAGAAGAAGAAGCGCGCCAAGCCGATGCCTGACAAGGGTTGGAAGAGGAAGGGGAAGGGATCGAAGAAGAAGAAGGCGAAGCTGCACGACGTCGACGACGAGGTCGTGGTGGCGGCGGACGCCGCCGGATCCAAGTACGAGGAGGCTGCCACCCATCCGCCTGGGACGGAGACGACGGTGACGATGGAGCTGGATCTCATCGACCACTATCTGGTGGGCGAGCTCGTCGCCTACATGACGGGCGCGTTGCTATGCCCGATCCTTCACCTCAAGTCCATGAACTGCCCCTTCGTCGACCCCAGGCACCTCGCTCCTGTCGAGAAGGATGTAGAATTCTCCGCCAACATCCTCAAGCAACACCGCCTCACCAACGGCCCCGTCGAGCTCCAGATGGACCCCATCACCACCTCCGATGACCATGACCACCACGACGACGACGAGCTCATCGATATGAGGGGCTGGATAAACTGGAGGACACCGGAGGAGATGAGGAAGAGGATGGTCGAGGAGGAACAGGAGGAACTGGAGGACCAAGCTTAAGGAGGAAGCTTAATTTATTTAACAATCTGCTTGCTGTGGCTTTGTAATTTGCAAGTTTCTGCTCATCATTATACTAGTTATATATTATACTAGTTCTGCTCATCATTATGATGTAATCTTGCACCTTATATCTTGCTACCGGTGATTCAGATATATCAAGTTAAAAATGGATGTAGCCACTCTCTGCTACTTAAATTTGTTGTCTTGTTGCTACTACCTCCGTTTCATAATGTAAGACTTTCTAGTATTTTCCCCATTCATATAGATGCTAATGAATACGAGAAATACTAGAAAGTCTTACATTATAAAATGGTGGAAGTATCTATTAATTTATCGTCTTGCATTAACAATTTTTTTGGGTGCAAATTGAGCCGTTTTTTTTGACAAATTGACCCTTTTCAAAAACTTATTTCGAAACTAACCCCTGCCAAAAACTTCAACCAAAACTAGGCCGTCGGCTCAGCGCCAAGCGCATTGGCGCTGAGGTTGGCCGTGTCAGCGCCAACGGGACTGGCGCTGACATTGTGCCACCGTGGCGGCCGGGCCGATCCCCTAGCTGACGTGGCAGCTACCTCAGCGCCAACCGCTTCGGCGCTGAGGTGCCCAACCTCAGCGCCAAGTAAGTTGGCGCTGACCTTGGCTACTTAGAGCCCGGCCGAGGCCGCCCCAGCCAGTTCTTCCTCCGTTTTTTCCCCAGCCGCCCGCCTAGGGTTCGGTCGCCACCGCGTTCTCCTCGCCCAATCTCCCCCAAAAACCTCTCTAATCGAAGGTGATTTGTGCGGCATTGAGTTTGGGATCGGAAGAGAAGGTAAACCCTTCTATAAACCCTAAGTTCCCCAAAGTTTTATTGGATATTTTGCATTGTTTTGGTTGTAGACGTGGTTTGATAATAGTTGGCTAAGGATGGATTATTAGATGGATAATATGGGTGGGGATGAAGTGTGGAGGTGGCATATCTTTATCCATTTGGTTGTTATTGATACATTTGACAAAATATATTTGGGATGGATGTTTGGTGATGCGCTAGGGTTTGATGGGAGATGGATGTGTGGTGATGGCCTAGGATGTGGGATGGATTTGTGGTGATTGAGAGGGTTTGAAAGGGGTTGATGTGTGGTGAAGGGTAGGTAATTTGTAGGAGTAGAGTTTTTTTTTATCAATAATGTGTAGTATTTGAGTAATGTACTTATTTATTGGAAAAATTAGACATGTTGTTAGCTTTTGAAGTATTGGTATTGCAATGGTAATTACATATTATTTTCAAGTAATTAATGTTTATGCATGGGTTAAAAATTGTAGATGGATAGATTGGTCCGGCTTCATTATGGTGGTTGTGTGGTAGATGAAAGTACACATGGAAGCCAATTTGAGGGAATGACAGTTAGACAATTAGTGTTTTTTGCGAAGCCTACCTTTGAGGAGTTAATGTCTCGCATCAAGCATGAATTGGATTGGAATGATGAGTCGGTTGGTATGCAAGG